TCTCTTCATTGATGGGGTGCTTTGGGGGCAGTTTCACTTTCTTGGACACCTGTGCTTGATCATCAGAGGGGTTCTGGATAAGTTTTGCATATTACCTTGCCATCTGCTTGTCTGTGAAAACACTTGTTTCCTTTTCATGTTAAAGTAGCCTGCTGTATTTGGCTTCCCAAACTCTCTTAGGATACTTGTTTTTGCATCTTAAAAGACCTCCTTTGTGTATTGGAATTGTCTCTCAACTTAAAGCATTAGACTATTTCCCAAAAAAACATAGATTATTAAAATCTTGGATTTCCAGCATGTTTTCATTAGAAAAAGATGCCCATTCTATTGATCCTTTTCTCATGGTATTTACTCTTCTAAACTCTACAACAGATATAAAAGGCAGGGGCTCTTTATAAGAGCCAGTATAGGTGGTTTTTAGGGTCCTACCAGAAAGGTTCACTCTGTTACAGAAGACATTTTAGGAAGAGGTTATGATGACCTAAAATGTTTGAAAATGAGTGTCTGTAGAGAATTCAGAGTTAACAGTCTGTGCTCTTGAAGCCTCTTGTCTTGTGGATAAGACAGAAACACATAAAACCTACAAAGCAGTATAAATAGGTTATGAAAAGAAAGTGAAAGTCACTCAGTTGTGTCCGACTCTTTGTGACTGCATGGACTATGTCGTCCATGGCATTCTCCAGGCCAGAATACTGGAGTGGGCAGCCTTTCCCTTCTCCAGGGGATCTTCCCAACCCAGGGATCAAACCCAGTCTCCCACATTGCAGGCGGATTCTTTACCAGCTGAGCCACAAGGGAAGCCCATAAATAGGTTATATATGATATGCTGAGTCACAAATGATTTGCAGTGAGTGTGCTGAAGAGCCCAAAGCAGAGGGAATCTCTGTGGCCATGACAGGGTTTGGGAGGAGCTTTGAAGTTGAGTATTTTGAGAGACAGAAGGGAAGCAGTGTGTTAAGGCCACTTCTTGTTTTTCACCCATCTCTGACTCATTGTGAATTTTGGGAAGGGATGGTTTACCTCATAGTTTTTCATCTTTTCTTTGCAGCCTGAAGAGTTGAGAGAAATCATTGAGAAGACTAGAGAGATGGAGCAGAACAATGGCCACTACTTTGACACAGCAATTGTGAACTCAGATCTTGATAAAGCCTATCAGGAACTGCTTAGGTTGATTAACAAACTTGATACTGAACCTCAGTGGGTGCCATCCACTTGGCTGAGGTGAAGGAACACATTCATTCTGTAGCAGGACTGGACTTGATCTGGCAAACTGCCCATAGGAAGATAGCCCTGATACTTGAGCACATCTCTGAGAAGGTGGCAGGCAGTGTAAACTGTAGACCTGTTCTTAAATCTTGAACTAGTGAGAAAAAAATCCCCTTAAGCAATTTGTTAACAGCAGTCTTTATTCTTTCTGTACCTGGCTTTAGAGGTTCTTGCCTCAGATGGGGATTTTAAATGGACCTTTTCAACAGAGCCATTCTAGTTTATCCATGGTAAAAGCCTTTTAATTCTGTTTTCATCTAACCAAGTCTTTTCTGCCTAGTCATATTTCCACAAAAACGTGTATATATACACAATGGTCTGTGTTTTACACTGCAATAAATATTAATGTTATTTAACAGTTAATTTAAATGATTTCATGAGAATTTGGGAGTGAGGGGGAACTGTGCTTCTGTGCACTGGGCAAGACAACAGTATTTGGCTAGAAGATTGGTTTAGTCATCAGAACTACTTTAAAAAAAAAATGGTGCCACTTTGGTCTGGAGCTATGTTAGCGTTGAATTCATTTATATGCCTTTTAATTCTTAAAAACATTCCATTAGAAGAACCAATTTTTTAGCTCGAACTTTGTGGATCAGACTTCACTGTAGACTCTGATCTAAAACATAGACAACATATGCTGATCTTTTTAAAGGTATAATGAGCTTTTGAATTTTTTTCTTAAATTGTCACAACTGATTTGGTAACTTCCTTTTCCTGATCTGCATAGTACAATAGAATGTATAAGTTATATTTTTATGAATGGAAGATATTCATATAAACTGTGTTGATTATTAAAAGTTTCTTCCTCATGATGCAGGTTTTTACATACATGAGAGGACATAGCACATTTGACGGTTTTTGCATTTTATATATGAGCACAGTATAATTTGATGACTGTGTTACATATGTAGGTAATAAACTGGAATTCTGTGATCAATATAGCTGCTGTACTGTATACTAATATTTAATAGGTTGACAAAGAGGTCATTAATTACATTGTTCAGCATTGGAATAAAATTATATGAGAGAAATGATATAACAGTTGACTTTGAGATCGGAAGGAAAAAATGACCTGAAAGTCATTTGAACATTTTAGGAAAAGAACACTGCAGGGGAAAAGTTAAGCATATAGAAATATAGAAAGAAGTAAAAAGCATATAGAAATAGGGTTTATCCTCAAAAAGTCTGCCTCTTATGACCAGAATGCAACAAGCTAAATCATAAAACATTTAAGCTAATGGATTTTCATACTGTCTCTATAGCTTGAAGCTTTAAAAGTCAACTTCTGCAATTGGCATGGAAAGTTAATTTGTAATCTCTTCCAGGCTTAGGGGGTGGTGTGGTGTGTGACAAATAACCTCAAATATGAATGTCTTGATTTTATTTTTATGATGACTACAGCTACAACAATTCTGTTTCCAAAGCTAAACACTGGAATAATATTGAATTGTCACTTATTAACATAAGCAACTTTTTAATGAGTAGTTTGTCTTGGTGTCATGTATATATTTGAGTTTTTCTCTTTTGCATAATATTATTTGAACAAATGTAGACTGTTTATATGTTGCCTTTTTCTGTTCAACTTTGTGTGGCCTCAAAATTGGCTGTAGAGTAGGTCTTACACAGAAATAATGTTCCTTAGGAGGAAAGTAACATTCCTGGGTTGAGGGAAGGAATGCCATACATACTGTCTCTTCAGGTCTGAAACACTCCAGTTTATGGCAGGAAAATGCAAAGTCACAGTGCTTTTCAGCAATGAAAACAAAGGACTGTAAGTACTAAATCTTTTCACTTTTCCAATTTACTTTCTCCTTAGGAATGAAAGGTAGTCTCTGTGGAATTTTGTGAGCTGCTTAGCATAACTGACAAGTGTTTTCAACCCTAAGGTCTAAAATGTAGTTTCAGTCAAATTAGAATTGAGATTTTAGGTGGTGTCAGTAAGTGGCTACCACGCTAGTCTCCTAGTTAGCCTGCAGACCACAGGGCCACACAACGGCCATGTGCTGTGGACTCGGGCATGGCTTTCACAAGCAGATTCAAGAACCCTACCGAGGCACATGCCATGCCATAATATACTCTTAAAAGTCTAAGGTGATGAGATATTTCAGGGGTCATTGAAATCTTATGTAATTCTCTCCTTCCTCATCAGCAGTGATAGAGGAATAGAAATGTTTATGTCCCACACTTTCTTCAGTCCTAGTGGTATGGATGTGCTGGTACTCATCCCAGTCCCTCCAGAGTGAAAACTGAGTTGTTGCTGACTTCTTTGAAAGAAAATAGAAAAAAACCTTGCTCCCTACCTAGCTGTGCTATATACCACTCTGGCCAATTCCATTTCCTGGCCTTCCTGTGCTTCTGATTGGAGACCCCAATGTTGGGGAGGTCTTAACCACTTAACAGGAACCATACCAATAGCTAATGAAATGCACATTAGTTCAAATAATAACCTTCTTTACTAAATTTTCTTAAGTCAGAACGAATAGAAAGGAGAATAGTTTTTAGATTAATCCAGATTTGCTTTCTATGAAAATCTAATATCTGGATTTTTTTTTTTCCCTTTTCTCATGGCCTAAGGAATAATTTGAATGTAATTTTGTGAATGTGTGTGGAAAATATAAACCAGGGATTTAGCCTTAATAAAGGTAACTTTTTTGACACCTGTTCTTAATCTTCCTTTGTACTTTACCTTGCCTGTATCTGCACTCTTGTTGAGATGTAATACTGCACAACATAATGTAAAAGTAAAAAGTAAAATTATGTTTCAAATTTTAAAACCCACTGACTCTCTCTTGTGTGCTTATATCCTCTGCCATTCAAGGTTTCAACACAACTGAAATGACCCACCCATTTTCAAGTTTTGCTAGCCAAGTCCATTGGAACCTCTGAGTGAAACACAAAATTAGTTTTATTTTTCACAGTGGAAGAGTTCCCCCTATTGGCACAAATGTAGGTTCTGTTTCCTTGTTTATTTAAACTATATTAAAGATAGACAAAGCTATAAGCTCTAAAAGTTTTCTAGGGAAGAAGATATGTAAGACTCAGGCAAATTCCACTACATGCAACCATGGATTTGAGAACACTGAGGGTAGGATGAGTTGTTGACAAATACACATTTCTCAAATCTTTATCCTTCCTCCCTTCCTATACCTACTCTGCATCTCCCAAAGAAGGCCAGTCATATACCAAAAAGTGTCACACACACACACACACACACCTTGCACTTTCCATTCCTAGTTCTGATCACCTGCCTCCCTTTCCCTACATCTCAGATCACTCAACCCTATAAAGCAAATCATCTGTCCACTACTGTCAGTATGCTAAAGTGGGGCTTCCCTGGTGGTCCAGCAGTAAAGACTTCACCTTTCAGTGCAGGCAGTGTGTAGGTTCAATCCCTGCTCGGGAGCGAACATCCCACATGCCTGTTGGCCAAAAAACCAAAACATGGAACAGAAGCGATACTGCAACATATTCAGTAAAAGATTTAAGAAAAATGGTCCACCTAGAAAAAATATTCTTAAAAAATACACTAAACCATAAAGTCATCTGTACTTTTGTAAGGGAGGTTAGCCAGGGCCAGTAAGTAACAAAGGTTGGTGAAGCCACAGGAAAAACCAAGGGTACTTCTCTAGCTCAGTGCTTTAAAGTTACTATAAATTCACCTAAATGAAACCACTAAAATTGGCTCTTTGCATCAACTTTTCCACTAATTTTTGCCTCCCACAGAGTATACATACCACTTAAGATTCAAGGCTCTTAAAGTCAAGATACATTTGCCGTGCATTCCACCTGCAAAATGGAAATGATTGGTATTTACACTTCACTAGGGGCTTCGCAAGTGATGCTAGTGATAAAGAACCTGTCTACCACTGCTGGAGACTTAAGACTCGGGTTTGAGCCCTGGGTTGGGAAAATCCCCTGGAGGAGGGTTGGCAGCACACTCCAGTATTCTTGCCTGGAGAATCCCATGGATAGAGTAGCCTGGTAAGTTACAGTTCATAGGGTCGCAAAGAGTTGGACACGACTGAAGCAACTTAACTTGCATGCACTAGGGTATTAGGAAGATTACGTATTAGACAGTTCATTGTTAAACCTATTTTCAAGACTTACATACTTGATAGTTTTCCAATCATTGAATTTACATTGAGTCTGAGATTTTATTTTGTAGGTAGCAAAAGGATTTCCTAAAAATCAGCTCTTCCAGGACAGGCCTTGTGTGTTACCTTTATTCCAAATTTTAAATGTAGGAGAGGCAAAAAAGAATGTAAAAATTCTGGACTTAGATTACCTGGATTTAAATGGGACTCACCACTTTCTAGCTTTTTAATCTAGGACCACTCAAACTTCTTACACCTCAAAATTTTCTGTGAAACATGGGATTAAAATAATAGGTACCTCTTATGGTGGTTGTGATGAAATGATATAAATAAGGTTCTAACTGGCACAACTGTTACTTTGTAGCAAGTGTTAAATGTTCACAAAAATTACTTGGTTAATTTAAAAACCAACAGGGGCTTCATGGTAGAGTCCACCTGCAGTGCAGGAGACCTGGATTCAACCCCTGGGTTGGGAAGGTGCCCTGGAGAAGGGAATGGCTACCTACTCCAGTAGAATTCCTGGAGAATTCCATGGACAGAGGAGCCTGGTCCATGGGGTCGCAAAGTCGGACATGACTGAGCAACTAACACATGCTTTTAAAAGCCTAGGCTGTGATAACCAGTTGATTTAAACACAGTACTAGTAAGGCTAGTGTTGTAGTTTCATTAACCAAAAACTGCTCCATGGCCAATGTCAAAAAACCCCTGGTGACTGCAGGAAGGCCTGAATAATCATGGATGACTCACACCAAATCAAGCTACTAAAAACCTCCGTCACCTGATACAGCCATATTACTCGCAAATGGGAGTTCATATTTTTTTCTTAGATTAGCAATAGAAATATCAATAAGCTCTCTTAATTCTCTGGCAATCGTGTATTTATCAGTACCCCCAAATTCAACAATCATCTCAGTAAGCTTATAAGTAAAACACTGAAATCTGAAGGATGGAGGAAGGCAGACTCCCACTTCATGGAGGAAGCTCTTTTTGAATGCCAATCCCATGTGCCAATCTGAGCATAAGAACACAATTTACTCTTAACAGTAAATTCACTGAAAAAGGAACAACTCGTTTTTAAATCATTTTACTGTTTATACCGTAGTCACATTTGAATTGGCAGAACTGTTCCCATGACAGACCAGAGACCTGTTATTCAAGGAAAAATAAGTGAAGGTTTCCCTAAAGCTTAAGGAGAGATGTCCCATAGTAACTAACACAAGAATGGCTGTGGCAATCTCAGACAATGATGCCAAGGTGTGTGAGCAGGTAGGAACAAAGGGTGCTCCAGAGTAGCTGGCCTACGAATGTGTGTTGGCCTGAGAGCACTGCTGCTTCCTAAAGGGATTTTCTTATGTTTGGTAAGCAGTCTGGTGATTAATTGTTGCTTAATTATGATTCTGCAAAGGTAGATCCCATGAACAGACATCCAGGGAAATTTTACAACGGTGAAATTCTTAAGCCAAAAAATAAATAGCCACACATAACAAACCTACACACCATGAATTAAAATGGTGACATGTTTGGCCTTCTGAAAGAACCAGAGCAGGAAAGCTTATTCAAACAGAAGATCTTCATCCTTCTCTTCAGCCAGGAGATTAGCAGGCTCCATCACCTCTCCGGCTGCCCTCCGTTGCTCCAAGTCCTGTTCAGACTTTTCCTTGAGAACCTTTTTCTTCTCCTGTATTTTCTTTAACCTGTAAGATAAAGGAGGGAATTTTCTGAACAATGTTTTGGTACTAAGTGGAACTGATTTCTTCTAGTTTTGTAACAAGGATAATAAACACCTCTACAAAGTCAAACAAAATTCTGCCTTTATTAATTTCAATTTCAGTAATATATTTATGACCACCCCCTTTTTTTAAAAGACTTGATGTTGAACACACTTGTGGCTCAGCTGGTTAAGAATCTGCCTGCAGTGCAGTTGGCCTGGGTTCAATTCCTGGGTCAAGAAGCCTGGTGGGCTAGAGTCCATGGGGTCACAAGGAGTTGGATATGATTGAGCAACTAACACTTTAACACACATTTTAAGCTAATAACTGATTGCAAAAGCTCCTATCTCAGGGTGAATAAACTTTGATATTCATGTGATGATACTGAGTATTCAGACATTAAAATTCTGGATCATTCAATTTGGATTACCACAACTCTGTACATGAACTGAAGAACTAGATTTTGATAATGATTATAAATCATAATCAAATGCTACTCAAGGTCCAAGACAGTCATAGCTTGCCTTCACTTATCTCGCACTTCTCTGAACCTGGCACAAGGACCCCAGCATACCACCTATGTGGTATGTATTGTTCCATAAATCAAGGTAAACTGGAAGTGGTCAAATAGATAGCAAGAGAATCAGTAAACTAAAATGGACCAGGATGGGCAAATTTAATTCAGATGACCATTGTATCTACTATTGTGGGCAAGAATCCCTTAGAAGAAATGGGGTAGCCCTCACAGTCAACAAAAAAGTCCGAAATGCAGTACTTGGGTGCAATCTCAAAAATGACAGAATGATCTCTGTTCGTTTCCAAGGAAAACCATTCAGTATCACAGTAATCCAAGTCTATGCCCCAACCACTAATGATGAAGAAGCTGAAGATGACCAGGTCTATGAAGACCTACAAGACCTTCTAGAACACCAAAAAAGATGTCCTCTTCATCATAGGGGACTAGAATGCAAAAGCAGGAAGTCAAGAGATACCTGGAGAAACAGGCAAGTTTGGTCTTGGAGTACAAGAAGCAAGGCAAAGGCTAATAAATTTTTGCCAAGAGAACACACTGGTCATAGCAAACACCCTCTTCCAAAAACACGAGAAGACTCTATACATGGACATCACCAGACGGTCAATACCAAAGTCAGACTGATTATATTCTTTGCAGCTGAAGATGGAGAAGCTCTATACAGTCAGCAAAAATAAGACCGGAAGCCAACTGTGACTCAGATCATGAACTCCTTCCTTATTGCAAAATTCAGACTTAAATTGAACAAACTAGGGAAAACCACTAGGCCATTCAGGTTTGACCTAAATCAAATCCCTTATGATTATAGTGGAAGTAACAGATTCAAGGGATTAGATCTGATAGAGTGCCTGAAGAACTATGGACAGAGGTTCGTGACACTGTACAGGAGGCAGTGACCAAAACCATCTGCAGAAAAAGAAATGCAAAAAGGCAGAATGGTTGTCTGAAAAGGCCTTATGAGTAGCTGAGAAAAGAAGAGAAGTGAAGGTAAGGAGAAAAGGAAAGATATATCCAGCTGAATGCAGAGTTCCAAACAATAGCAAGGAGCAATAAGAAAAGCCTTCCTAAGTGATCAATGCAAAAAAATAGAGGAAACCAATAGAATGGGAAAGACTAGAGATCTCTTCGAGAAAATCAGTGATGCCAAAGGAACATGTCATGCAAAGATGGGCACAATAAAGGACAGAAACCGTATGGACCTAACAGAAGTAGAAGATACTAAGAACGGGTGGCAAGAATACAGAGAAGAACTATACAAAAAAGATTTTAATGGCCCAGATAACCATAATGGTGTGATCACTCACCTAGAGCCAGACATCCTGGAATGTGAAGTCAAGTGGGCCTTAGGAAGCATCACTACAAACAATGCTAGTGGAGGTGATGGAGCTCCCGCTGACCTATTTCAAACCCTAAAAGATGATGTTGTTAAAGTGCTGCACTCAATATACCAGGAAATCTGGAAACCTCAGCAGTGGCTACAGGACTGGAAAAGGTCAGTTTTCATCCCAATCCCAAAGAAAGGCAATGCCAAAGAATGTTCAAAATTCCGCACAATTTCACTCATATCACACGCTAGCAAAGTAATGCTCAAAATTCTCCAAGCTAGGCTTCAAAAGTACATGAACCAAGAACTTCCAGATGTTCAATCTGGATTTAGAAAAGGCAGAAGAATCAGAGATCAAATTTCGAATTCATCTCTTGCTTGAGACGTCTACTTCTGCTTCATTGACTACAGTAAAGCCTTTGACTGTGCGAATCACAACAAACTGTGGAAAATTCTTAAAGAAATGGGAATACCAGATCACCTGACCTGCCTCCTGAGAAATCTGTATGCAGGTCAAGAAGCAACAATTAGAACAGGACATGGAACAGACTGGTTCCAAATTGGGAAAGGAGTATGTCAAGGCTATATATTGTCACCCTGCTTATTTAACTCATATGCAGAGTACATCATGCAAAATGCTGGGCTGGATGAAGCACAAGCTGGAATCAAGATTGCCGGGAGAAACATCAATAACCTCAGATATGCAGATGAAACCAGCCTTATGGCAGAAAGCGAAGAAGAACTAAAGAGCCTCTTGATGAAAGTGAAAGAAGAGATTTAAGAAGCTGGCTTAAAAAAAAAATCAACATTCAAAAAACAAAAATCATGGCACCCCCTGATCCCATCACTTCATGGCAAATAGATGGGGAAACAATGGAAACAGTGGGAGACTTTATTTTCCTGGGTTCCAAAATCACTGCAGATGGTGACTGCAGCCATGAAATTAAAAGACACTTGCTCCTTGGAAGAAAAGCTGTGACAAACCTAGACAACAGTATTAAAAATTGACATTACTTTGCCAACAAAGATCCATCTAGTCAAAGCTATGGTTTTTCCTACAGTCATGTACAGATATGAGAGCTGGGCTACAAAGAAGGCCGAGTGCCGAAGAACTGACGCTTTTGAACTGTGGTGTTGGAAAAGACTCTTCTTGACAGTCCCTTGGACTAGAAACCAGTCAATCCTAAAGGAAATCAGTCCTGAATATTCACTGGAAGGACTGATACTGAAGCTGAAACTCCAATACTTTGGCCACCTGATGTGAAGAGCTGACTCATTTGAAATGACCCTGATGCTTGGAAATATTGAAGGTAGGAGGAGAGGGGGACAACTGAGGATGAGACGGTTGGACAGCATCAGTGACTCAATGGACATGTATTTTGGTGAAGGACAGAGAAGCCTGGCGTGCTGCAGTCCACAGGGTTGCACAGAGTTGGACACGACTGAGCGACTGAACAGCAACAGTTTTAAATGTTAGCCTGCAGCCCGCCAGGCTCCTTGTCTATGGGATTTTCCCAGCAATAGAGTGGGTTGCCACACCCTCCTCGAGGGGATCTTTCCAACTCAGGGATCGAACCCGAGTCTCCTGCATTGCAGGCAGATTCTTTACCACTGAGCCACCAGGGAAGCATCCCCTTATGAGACACCCACATAATCCCTTTCATTTGAAGGAATTATCAACACTATTGCTAGTTTCTCTGAAGGACCTATGTTTTCAGAGACACCACATTTTAGTTATGTGCAAAACTTGGCACAGATTTGTCTCCACAGCCTTTGGCAATATTATCTCTTGCCTCTTATCAGAATAAAACACAAGTTTTGCTAATTCTAAAGAACATAAGCCAACAAGTCTCTCAGCAAATCAAGTCTTTGGAATATGGAAAAACAGAAAATGACCAATAACTGCCACGTCCAACAAACCTGTAGAACTCCTCTCGCTCTCTCTCATCCAGCTCTGTGATGATATAAGCAAGGGTACGTTCAATCCGGGGAATGATGACTAGGGTTTAAAAATATATATGTAGTCAGAACTTCAAACCTCCTTTTTTTAAATTGCCAGTGCTCATTTGTACAACAGTTACTTAACCATAAATGTACATTTAATGCAAAAAACAAAAACAGAAAAGTAAAATGAATTATAATCCCACCACCCTGGGTTAACTATTATAAATATTTTGGTATATGTCCCTGTACTGTCTTTTCTATGCACAGGTAGCACTGGACCATGATATATACCACACTGAATATACTGAATTTATAGGATTTTTTAACACTGAACCACATGTTATTTTAAATATAACAGCAATTTACTGTTAAATGCTGGAACACTGAACAGAGGGAGTACAGTAAGTTGAATTTTTTGTCAGTCATAGGTTCAACTTTACACAGAATTTGCTTATTCTGCTTCTAGAATGTGAGGTCCTTGCAAATTGGAACTTACCCATTTTGTTTTGTTTGCAATTCCAGACATGAGGCTGGCACAAGCAAGCAGTCAGGAAATGTGTTTTGAGTTTTTAAAAAATGAGATAACTTCCTCTTTATTTTTATTTTTTGATAACTTCTTCTTTAACACTAACAGATCCCAAGCAAAATAATTTCCCTGCTGCTGCAAGTTTGCTACTTTCTTACCTTAAATCAATGTTTCTTTAATGAAAACTGAGTCTTTTAAGGAAAAAGTACTTTGGCAACATTAAGGAGTCATAGTTTTAAAATAATGAAATAAGAGAGATGGAGGATAAAGGCATACAATGGGAAAACTTATTTTGAGAAATCAAGAATAGGAGATAAGGCCTAAGAAAGATTTAAAGTTAAATACAGTAAGTCCTCTACATAAGAACCTTCACATTGTGAGCTTTCAAAGATGCAAACGTGCGGTCACATGTCCAATCACATAAGTCAGTTCACATGTCTGATGTGCGTTGTCACATGCATGCATGTATGCTTTACTGTACAGTACTGTAGAGACAGCAGCACAGTATATGTCAAGTCCAGGATTTCTGGAAGCCAGTGTAAAAGCAGTGATTGCCGTAGCTGGCACAGTACTCCCTAAACATCACTGGATTGTTTTTTCAGGAGTAGACAGAATTCAGTCCAGCAAGGAACCCGTGCCATCAACATCAGGCCTGAGTGAAACTGCAGCTTGCCCTCCACCTGCTACTGCTGACGATCCACCTCCCACCTACCTCCCTCCTCCAGCTAATAACTCTTCCTGCCTGTTCACTCGATGCCAGCTGTTGCCCTATACTATTGTATTTTTCAAGGTACTGTACTGTAAGATTAAAAATGTCTTATTTTTCTGTTTTTTATGTAGTTTGTGTGATTTGTGTGAAAAGCATTACAAAGCTATTACAGTATAGTACGATATAGATGACTGTGTTAATTTGGTGACCCAGGGTAACTCTGTTGGACTTAGAACAAACTGGACTTCAGAATGTGCTCTTGGAACGGAATTCATTCATATGGAGGGGACATACTGTACTTCATGTGTTCAAAAAGATTTATCACTCAATCACTGGAAAGAACTTACAAAAACATTAGGGCTCTTGAGAAATAGTTTCACCTTTTATTCATGAATAACCAGAAACAAATAGAACATTCCAAAGCTTTTAAGTTCAACACTCTCCTCTAACTCCCCCACAAGTCATATACATACTTCTATCAAATGATTTATGAACATTTGTACTTATCTGTACTACTGACTCTCTGCCCTTCTCACTGTGGACAGGGGCAACATCTTAATCAGCAGGCAGGCAGTGCCTGAGTCCTAGCAGGTCTGAGACAAGGATGGAGGTGGGCACGAAAGGATAAACAACGAGCTTCAGAGCGGCTTAAACTCACCATGTTCAATAGCATTTACACGCCTGTTGGTTATCTTAATAGCTTCATCCAAAGTAACAAAGGAAGTCTAAAATAAGAGGATAAATTAATAATGCAGGCTCAAAATTTTCTTCCTAATCATACCCTGGCCACCTGCCTTCACTCAGCGCTTGTAGAAAACATTTGGAAACCAAGACTACTACTTCTCAATGTACTTAGAAAACAGAAAAGTCTTATGAGATTTCCACAGAGGTAACATGACTTCCATTCTATTAGAATTCATTCACTTCAGACTCACCTGAAGTTATAAAAATGGCAAGAGGAAGAGAATCATACACTAATGACCTAGACACACATTAACTGGCCACAAATGGGAAATAAAGGCTTTCATACGTAAATCATATAAACATATGCATTTAAATCTAGTATTGACTGTTGCTGTTCTCACCTAGTCAAGAGTGAAGCTATACCACTGCACAAACATTGTATTAGTGATGAAAAGTAGGGACAATGGTGCAGAAGCCCCCCATTTCAGAAATCAAAGCATCTCTGGCTTGTTTCACACAGGCATGCAACAGTTTCAAGTACTAAGTGCAATATGCTCCGGTTCAGGATCTGAATCTCCCTGACGTGACTGTTAAGATATCAAACTGCAGGACTTACCTGCAGTGAAGCCAGTTCCACCAGTAGTTCTACTGCTTTGGCATAATTCCTCTTCAGTTTAGCCAACTGTTCCCCACCTCTGGCTAAACCAGTCAGTTCATAACCTAAAAGAACCAGTCAGACAACATTTGCATTTAGAGTGTAATCTTCCCCATAGACTTCCCAAAAGATGGTAAGTCAGAATTAATACCAAAGACACAAAAACAAATTTAGCAACCCTATTCAATGCACACACCAAGTACCCACTTCACTCCCCCAAACCATCATGCATGCTGCTATTTGCACATGGGCATTATACTAGCTATAGGGGAAGCTTCTGACCAACCTTCACGTGCCCAGCTTGTAGACTTGTAGACTGTACTGCCTGATGCCCAGTACAGTGACATTCTATTACCAGGTGATACTCTAGAATGCTGCTTCATTCAAGCTGTTACTAAATGTTCTATGTGAACCAATTAAATAGGAGGACTAAAAAAAGAATATTTTTATTTCTATGAGAAAGAGTCGACTACTTTGGAAAGGCTCAACAAAGATGTATTACCATCTAAAACATGCTGTCAAAGTAGGAAAAGTGGAAACAGTTATCAAAGAAAGGTCAAGGCCTTTTATTTCTAAAATTTGAAATGACTAAGTTTCTAGGTGGAAATAAAGTATTTTAAGCAATGTGCAATGTTCTGTGACTCCACACAATAACACTTTTTTGATTAACTGATCAACTATTGTCCCAACTGTATCTAATAAGGCTTACCAACACTGGAACTACTGAACTCTAATAAGGTCTATCTATCATCATTGTTAGGAATAAGGTTCATTTAAAGAGAAACTAGAAGAACCGGGAGACACACTTAAGAAGTTTCACACTTACTGTCAGTTCCTTCATGATAATGTTCAAATACTGGCAATGTAACACCTGTTAAACAGAAACATATATGGATTCACAAAAACATGTCCTTGAAGTATGGCTTCTTAACCATGGTTTCCTGTTTCTTTTTCAGCAAATATTCAAAAGTCAAGAGATTGCCTGGAATCATAACTTGTTTCAAGGAATGAATTTAGGAACCTGCCTTCTTAAGTGTTCATTCCTATTCCAAAGTCAAGTTGTCCTTAGTAAGGGATCTGGTTGTTACAAAGTTTGTTTTTTTTTCTTTCAGCTTTGAAGTATACTTAATATGTAAAAAGCTGCACATATTTAATGTGTACATTCTGATGAGTACAACATATGCATACACCCATGAATACCATCATCACAATCAAGGTGATAAACATATCCATCACTTCCAAAAGATGTGTCCCTTTTCCTAAGTGTGTGTTAAGAATACTCAATATGAAATCTACTTTAAGTTTCTACTTTAAATTTCTAAGTGTAGAACACCAAATTATTAACTATAACTACAGACTGTACAGATCTCTAGAGTATATTTATGTTTAATAACTGTTACTTTATATCCACTGAATGACCAGCTCCTCATTTCCCCCATCCCTATCCCCAGGCAACCACCAGTTAACAACAGTTTCAGCATGTAAAGCCAATCAACTTTGTCTAAGAAGAAAAGATTAACTGGGCCATTAAGATCATGCTGTATAAATGGGTTGATTTTAAAATGTTATCTTTTCTCTGCCAAAGATTTAAAGGGTTGAAAAGTTACCTGCTACATTATCTTTCTTTGCTCTAATCTTCACTTGGGCCTTATTTACATTTTGGATAACTGTGGTGCTGCAGGAAAAGAAAAGGCCTTGATTTAGTTTCGTCTTTAGAGTGAGAAGTAAACCAGCAGGGACCCATCAGGTATTTCAACATAAGCAAGATTTCACAATTACATTTTGAAGATTGTCTTTTTTCAGAAAAGGAAACAATCACTGCTATCAAAGGAGGGCCTCAGAGAGCAAAGTATGAACGATATTCAAACATTAACCATAAGAATACAAAGAATGGTTTTAATGTATATGGACTGCTTATGTTTTCAATCAGATATGTGGTGCGTGGATGTGACTTTAGGGATTTTCATTCCACTGATGTAATTAGGAGAAGACCTTCCTTCCTTTTGGGTTTGCCATCAAACCTCCCAGGTTTGGCTGAGCAGCAGTTGAGTTCCTTTGCCGTGGAACTTCCATCTGGCTGCACCTGACTCCCCATTTGTTACTATCACAAAATAAAGTGCTTCCCCATAACCACCCTGAAACATTTTCATATACCACTTACACACTATTTATTCCCTCTCTCCCATGAAAAAGTCAATGCAAATCGTTATCCTGCTAATACTGGTGAAAAGTAAAGTCTACTACTTCAAAAGGACTCACGCCCCTCAAGCTGTAAGACTGTCCATAGGTAATGTTCCTCGAAGACACAAACTAAGAATGGAGGCACTGTGTTACTGGTAAAGACGACTAAAATCAAAAACCCTGAAAACAACTTCCACTTCTGCCCCTGAAGAGTAATTTAACTTCAGGAAAGGACTGAACTTAAACTAAGAATTACAATGCTCACCTGGTCTATCTCACAGGCTTATGGGGAAAATCAAATGACGTTATCTAAATATATGTAAAGCAGTAACTAAGCCATTTTGTACACTTTGTAAGGCATATATTGACAAATGCCATAAAGTCCATGCTCTTTAAACAACCAATTCCATTCTTAAAAATTTTCCTAAGGAAATGATTCAATAGAAATAAGTATATAAAGATGTTCATGGCACCTTTTCTAATATTCTGAAAATCACCCCAAAGGCCCATCATTATAGGAAAACATTAACAAATTATCATACACCTAGAGAAAGATTATGCAGCTGTATGAAAATGGGGAAATGTTTTTACGACACAATACTGTGGGTGTGCGCACACAGGCGCTTAGCTGCTCTGTCATGTCTGACTCTTCGAGACCCTGTGGACTGTGGCCCTCCATGCTCCTCTGTCCATGGGAATTTTTTAGGCAAGAACACTGGAATGGGTTGCCACTTCCTCCTCCCAAGGGATCTTCTTGACCGACAGATCGAACCCATGTCTCCTGTGTCTCCTGCCTTGCAGGCGGATATTTTACCTGCTGAGCCTTATTTAGTTAAAAAAAAAAAAAAAACTATAGAAATAGACGAGAAGGGGGTGACAGAGGATGAGATGGATGGCATCACTGACTCAATGGACATGAATTTGAGAAAACTCAGGGAGACTGATTGACAGAGAGGCTTGGTGTGCTGCAGTTCATAGGGTCACAGAGTCAGACATGACTTAAGAGACTGAATAACAACAACAACAATAAAATATTAAGTATCCTGTGCCTGAAGAAATTATGTAACAGATAATGTGCATTAAGGTGATGGAAGTATTCTATCATGTGTCTTTAATGCTTTTATGTATATATTAATTAAAAGTGGCTTTAAATGAAATTTTGAACATGAAGGCACTTTGTTTTTCAAAATATCCCACTTTACCTGAAGTCCCCGGCTGTGAACTTGGCCTCAGCAAGTGAAAAGGCAGCTTCTCTCATCACTTCACCCATCAACATTTTAGTCTGGAAAAGCATAAACCAGCAGTTGATTCAAGCCAAGTTTTTATACAGGGAAAGGTGGTATCATAATCATGTCCCTTTAACAACCATCAGTGTTTCACACTAGGTGTGCATGTAAATACTTATCTGGTAACAATGACATAAATACATCTAATTTTGCTTGAAAGGTTTGATTATGGATACTAACAAGATGGCAAAATCATAAGTTTTATAATTAAAATATTACAGTAAAGACACTAAAATATTGAAAACTAAATCTTTACTGAAAGGCCTACCTTATTCCTGAATGGGTCCATGGCAATTTGTTCAAATTACTCTTTTAGATTCACTATACTGCTGTCAAAATCCTAATGGCACAGTGATTCTAAAATAAATCTGGAAGATGTAATGTTTGAGAATACCCAATAATTTTTTTGAAAGAGAAGACAAACTGGGGCAGAGGGTTAGAAAGTTACCAGACAGGCCAGAGGAGCAATTATAAGAACACAAGGGAAAGAGCACTTCAGGCAGAAGAAAGAGCTAATGCAAAGGTCCCAGCGGAGGATGTTAGAAGAAAGCTCCAAATGAGACCAAAGGGGCAGGCAAGGGCCAGAAAAGATCAAGAGGGACTTGGGCGCAAGAGTAAAGAGTCTGAATTTGATTTCATGACCTTTCTGAAACTTGTTACATTTATAATGGCATTTTTACTTTTGAAAGAAAAATATTAACAGCCATGCTGGATTTTCCATAGATACTTCTAAAACACAGTTCGAAGCAAACTTCATTCTACCTCTATTATCTTCTTAAGGATCTGTCGAAATCGAAGAGTTAAGGCATCAGATTTTTTCTTCAGGAGGTTTCGACCTGTCTGTGCTCCTTTTAACCGAGCCTTCATGATGGTCTGTGCCCTATGTAAACAAAGTTAAAGAAATTTAAGATAAAAATGCTTCCCTAATATGGTGTTAAAACCCTGCTTTATCTGTTGATGTCACGGGAGCAAGAATATACAGCATTTGTGGCCAACAGGCTTAACTGGTTTCTCAATATTGTAGATCTCCACCCTCAGTGTTCCAAAAGTGAGAAGTCTTTTTTATATAAAACAGTAACAATCCTCTAATAAGTATTTGATAAATTAATATTTATTAAATCAGAATAAACATATAAAGAGCCCTATTTTATGATGTCAGCACTGTTTACTTACTTGATTTGTGAGTTATAACAATGTATGTGTTTCCATTAAGGACTTAAAAATTCTGTCCATTAACAGCAAAATTTGAAATGCACTTATCTTCAGGACCAACAATTGCACTTTAAGGGACTTATGCCACTGACTGACTCCCACACGTACACAAAAGCATGTACAATGTTAAGGATGAGTACTCCAGCCTTATTTGTAGTAGGAAAAGGATGGAAACAAATGTCCCACAACTCATGGTTCATCATGCAACAGAATGATATGCAGCCAGTTAAAAAAAAGAAACAAAAAAAAAAAACCACAGTAAGGCAGATCCGAATGTATTCCCGATATTACACTATCTTAGTTACACAAATAAGGGATACATGGGCTTATATAGATACAGAAAACAGTTCTAGAAAGTTCACAGAAACTGGTAACAGTTTCCTTTGAAAAATAAAGCATTTACTTTTTAAATGGAAAAAATGGATTTACTCTTTACTACTACACTGTTTTATCTTCTCCATTTTATAGCATAATCATTTCTCATTTTTTCCATTAAAAGTGTGGCACTGAAGTGTTTTGATATCACCAATGAAGACTCTACTACCACTTTATTAAATTGTAAATGACTCTAGGTAACAAAAGACACAAATGACACTCCTGAGAAGTGACAAGTCACTGAAGTCTCCCTACCTCATTCCAATCTTTTCCTATGGGAAACCCCCAAATCGAAGGCAAGAAAGCAATAGCAAAAACCAACATTTCTGTTCTTGCTACCATATGCCAGATAAAATTTAATAATGAGGAAGAAAAAGTGGGTAGTCAGATTCAATAATAGATTGCATGACATACTTAGAATAATTTAAGGGAATATAGTTTCATATGACTGGTGTTATAATCAACTGCAAAATAGTTTTTACTAAACTTTTGGGTACATTTTTAGATTATGAATCTTCTACCACAGGCCAAAGGTTACTAAGACTATTCTGCAGCTGCAAAGGGCTTTAGACATTATCTTGCAGGACAGGAAAATGAAGCTCAGAAAAGTAAAACAACTTTCCCACAGTCACTCAGTGAAGAAAAGGCAGAGCAGGAACTTGATCCAGATTTCTGAGTCCAGTGATTTAACCAAGGCTCAAACCTAAGTCCTCTCTACCCTAACCTGTGCTACACTGCTTCACCTACAGATTATAAACCACCTCAGGCGAACAGTTCTGTCTTTGAAAAACTAGCTATTAGTGGCTGAAATTGCACTGACAAGCCTCACTGGAGGCCTACCCAAGTGAAGCTGGTTCAGTTTCCAACCTGAGTAGGAGTTATGCACCCCATTGTGTACATTAAACATACCATGCTGTTAACACTAACCACCAAAGCTTGGGTTCAAAGCGTTGAACCAAATTTAAGTCAAATCCTAGTATTGCAGACTGCAGCAAGTATACAGTAAAAAGGTGAACTGTTTGTGAATTCATCTTAATTTTAATCTCCAATATTTAATTTTTTTTCTGGTTAAATAGACAAATTTTAATTCTTGAAAACCAAAGAGTGACTTGCCCGAGGGCCTACAGTTAGTATGTAGTAGAACCTCGATGTGACTGATTTCTGCAGACTCCGAATCCTTCATGTCTCTTTTGCTTCCACTCTAAACTTGTTTTTGCTCTCTGGTGCCTAAGTAGGTGACAGCGCCATCTTACAGTATATACAGTAAGGTGAAAGTGTCTGAAACAAATCACTAGTGTATTTTCTAGCCGAGCTCTTAAAAAACTTCTTTTATAAGTTACAAAGCTGCTCGGCCCTATAAAAAATGCTTGACCTTCAGCTAGGACGATGACTTTGCTTCCAGTTGAATCAAAGACATCTGACTACATGACAAAGTACCTGCTGATAGCCCTTGGGGAAAATATTTAGAGAAGCAGTTACTTCCTGCACCTGATTTTCCTCTTAATCAGCAAGCTGAACATTCTCAAACAGCAAATTTTTACCTCCCCAAACCTATCATTCATGTCTAAGCCCAAATAAGTGTATTCTCACCTCCTAGCCTTAAAGTAAAAACATCAACAACAAAATGTTAACATTCTGACTACTACCAAAGATAAATGCAGCCAGACATTAATTAAAGCGGTGAAAAGAGACATTATTCAGTAGCTGCTGACAGCAGGGGAAAAGAGCTGAGCTCCTTTCTGATGGTGCACAGGTGATTAGGCATTTTAAAAGGAGTGAGTGGACATGATTTGGAGAAGAGAAAAATTCCAAACGGTTGGACAATGGAAATGCCATCAGGCCAGCTGTGTCTGCTAGCATGCAATTAAGGAAGGGAAGTCAGAGGCACAGCCAAAGGTGTTGCATATTTGGCTAGATGAACTTTCTTAGGTCAGCATTTTACCCGGTGCTGGAGTCATCTTAGGAACACAATCTTAGGCTACTAGAAGCCAAGCTAGAGTCTGGTGGTCTCTCAATGCAGGGGTTTGGATGGAGTCAGAGTCATTAAGTGCTGGGAGTTCTAGAGGCCTTCCAACCTCAAGGTATTCCTGATCTTTATCTATTTCAGAAGGCACTGCCTTTCTCCACAACTGACGTGCCTCCCACCTAGGGCAAGCAGCTATTATAAAGTCAATAGATAAGGTAAAAACCAAACAAAAACCCCTTCGTTTCATTAAAAGCTGTAGCCACCCACGAAGAGGCAGAAAGCTAGGCCTGGGGTTTAAATAAACTCTTCTTTTAACCCTCCTCAGATTCTCTGAGAAAAGTCAGGAAGAAGAAAAACACAGCATACCCAAAGAGATAGGGCCAAAATCAAAAGATGTAACTGTCAAAGCCAAAACTGATTTTCTGCTCCCCAGTGAAAAAAGAGTAAAAGAACGAGAGGGCAAATAACAGCAATCTTTATCTTCCACACGTTGTTAGGCACATTTGAGTAAACGTCAAAATTTTCTCCTGCCGAAGAATTTAGACCAACAGAGAAAGGAGACCACAACCGAACAGATTCCACGGGCATGGGTTCATTCAAGCAACATTTTTTGTGGACGATTAAGAATCAAGACATCTCATCCTGGAGAGATTTCCCAGTTCAGTGGTAAATGTACATAAGCTTATATTCACTTTACAATGTGATGGATGATATTAACATAATGAATATTGAATGGTGATGGAACAAAATAAGAGCCTCAGAAATTCAAGGATAGCTTCCCACCGCATGTGACATTTCATGGGATCTTGCCAAGATGAACCTGAGGCCCACGTTAGGGAGATTCAACCCCCCGATTTGGCCTGCTTCACATCGCAGTCAACTTCCCGTCTCAAAGCATTTATCAAACTTCATCACCTGGTATATATCTTCACTGAACTGTGAGCTCTATTCTGGCAGCAGTAGCGACAATTCAGTTTTTTATAAATCCACTGCCCGGATCAATAGGGAATGTGGAATGAATGGCTCGATTAATAACTGAAGTCAGCAGACCTCCACAAAAGTCAGCAGCTCGAGCTGAACTCTGTCCAGTCTGATTCAACTCAGAGCAAAGGGGCTCGTCAGGGAGCCTTGCCCTGGACTCAGGAAGAGACCTGAGAGCTCAGGATCGGCCCAACATACAAGAAGCCCCGCCGCTGGTCCAGGGTAATGAAGGGCCAGCGGCTCTGGCAGGTGTTCCTGAACACCTGCTTGTTCCATTCTTTTACTTACATTCGCGAGGGAAAGATTTCAATTCGGTCTTTGCCCGACATTCTGACGATGACTCTTCGGCTCGGGTTCCTGGTCGGGCAACCGTGGCTGCAACAACCCAGCCACAGTCTTTCTCTACGGGAGTCAGCTGGTGTGTCACGTGACCCTCTCCCGTTGCTAAGAGGAAGCCGGGCTATGCAGTCTTCACTTCCGCTTCCTGTCGGTACGGGTGAGGGCGGGGGTATGGGGAGGGAGAGGACAACAAGAAGGCGATGCCCGGATGTTGAGGCGCGCGCACCCCGGAATCGTCCCCCTCATTTCCGATTCGCCTTTTAGCCCCTCCCCTTCCACCTCCCAAGCCGCTGCGGTCGGTTCAGCACGCGCCAAGCGAAAGAACAGGTAAGAGTACACTCCTTCTCTTTCTCCAGTTTTCATCTTTGGTCACAGCGCCACCTCCTGATTGAAGGTTCCAGCGAGGATTTATGCTTTAGGGACAAGGAATCAGTCTTCCCTTTTACCTGCGCCTGGACGGTTACTTAGCGAAAGCTAAAGATAACGAGAAAACGTACTTTTCAGGTCCTCCTAAGGGCCACACTCTTTGTCCTCGGAGGACCTGGACTCTATGGTCAGTGACGAAGAGGGGCCTCTCTCCCGTTGGCGCTTGCGTGCTGTGAGTGGTTCCGCATGCGCGGTGTGGGCAAGCGAAGCGCACGCTGAGGAGAGTCGGCGGCTGCTGAGGGCTGATCGAGTCTGATCTCTCCGACTGAAGAGCGTGGCGTGGGACCCTGGTGTGGGCGTCACACACATACCTCAGGTGACTAGTCTCTCTGATCGGTTTCTCCAGGAATTCACTTTGATTGTGTCTAGGGACGTGGGTGGTTGGTAGAGGGTAGGCCCTGGGGCTAACACCCCCGCCTTTTCCCGTCCCCGCGCGGGAAGTGTCTGGACACGACTGCCGCCACCCGCCGGCTGCGTGTCGGCCTCCCCGTGTAGCAGAGGTGTCATGGTACGGACGGAGGAATCTCGTGAAGGCAAGTGGGCCAAGTGATGGGACGGCCTCGTCAATATGCTGATAGTGGGGGTGTCTTGAGGTGGGGCGGCCTGGGGAGAACGCCGTGACACCCCGCCCCAGGACGCTGAGCACTTTGCCGTCTCTAGGCCTGAGAATTCTATCCTTTTTTCCCCCCTCCTCTTCTTCCGCCCCGGCAAATACTGCCTCTCAATGGTGACCAGATAGGACACTTTAAGGAACCTGTGGATTGAGGGACGATTTTGACAAGAGTTGGGTTAAAAAAAAGATCCAAGAATAGTTTGTTAACCTGAGCACTAATATTAAAAACTCGAAGCTCTTGTTACCCTGTCGCTGGAGTTGTGCGTTTCTGTAGAATGAGTCAGTCCTTAGGACAAAAGTAAAAGATATTACTTAAGAGTTTATCATTCTTCGTATCATGTTGCCGTATTTTCAGCACGGTTGAGAACAGACTTCGTAGAATTAAGCGCTGTGGTCTTCCGGTTAAGAAGAACTGAAAAACACAAGATATGGACATTTTAGGTGCTTTTTGTTAACTACCCCAGACTTAGTCTACTTTAATTTTCAGTAAACAAGAAACATTGTTTCTTGGGGGAAAAGTGTAGCAAAGAAGTCTTGGTTTTTCTTCCGATTGAAGTTGTTACTCAAGGGGGAAAAAAAAATCTTGTAACTCCGTGTCTTTCAACAGTTTGGAATTACATAGAGCTTTACTGCCTGTTCTTAGTGCATCGGATGCCAACTGAGAGTTTCTGGTTCTCAAAAGATCTCAAGAAGATGCGCAGTTTTAGAGATTGATGCTTCCTATTTCAACTACAGTGAAATAATTGAAAAGCTTTATTTGTTTAGCATTTCTGTACTAAAGTCGAGCATTCATAGAGCATAACTGGTAAGTGTTAGAGCCGAATTAGGATTACCACAAGAGTTGCCTCTATCACATCATGCTTTGCTTTGGAAGGCAGTGTGGACTTCCTATATCCATGATGACGACTGGAGCACAACAGTGATTTAAGAACTCCTGCCTACCATTTGACCAGGCAAAATTACTGATGGTGCAGGGTATTTGAAATTAGCTTGGAGCTCAGTTGTTGTATTTTGAAAGATTCTTTACTGGAGAACACATACTGTATTGTAGTACTCTGACATATTGAGGCTTTGTGAGTTAAACTCTGAATTTAGTGTCATATGACCTGGTTTTAGCTCCTATTGTACTTAGTAAGCATTTGTCTTTGAGGAAATCATTTAGTACTTTATTTTAATAATAAAAATAATTGTTTAATGAATTAAGTTACAAAATGGAAATGATATTTCCTTTGCCTTTTTATATCTTATATTTGTATAGCACATTACACTTTCCAACTCTTTGCACGTGTATATTATTTGACCTGATGTCCTCCACAAACCTGTGAAGTACATGGCACACGTTAGAAGCTACAGTTAATGGGAGTATATTAGTATTCCTAAGCCACAGTTAGTAGGAGATCAAAGTTGTAGATTATTTTTTTGTACTTATGTACTGTCTTTCACTGTGAATGACATACTGTCAGCAGTATTCCTTTATTTACATTATCTTTTACAAAGAGATTTGCACCTTCTGAAGCAGTGGCATCCATATCACTCTTCAGAATTCTTTTACACTATTGCCTGTGTTCTTTTATAATCAAATTACATCTTGCTTCTCCAAAATTATCGGCTTTACTGTTTGAAGAAACTTGGTGAGTAAAAGTGGTTAGCACTTGTTAAATCTCTTAAAATGTTTCACACATTTCCATAATGTTTATTTTTATACCCAGTATGAAATGTTTTTAGCTCTCAAGTTTTAGTGCTTTACATACAGATATTTGAGAACAGAAAAAAAAGCCCTGTTTAAAAATGAACCAGCTAGCTCAGCTCTTTCTTGGTGGGTAATTCTGGCCATTGTGTGTCTACTTCCCTTTATTTGCTAAATCCCTATTTTGTCAAGCTTCGAAGAGAAATATTTCTCTACCACTGTTATGTGCAGCTTTATTTTTTATTAAACAGGATAAGTTAATAATAAAAAGTTTTATGTGTCCTCTGTCCATGGAATTTTCCAGGCAAGAATACTAGAATGGGTTGCCATTCCCTTCTCCAGGGGATAATCCCGATCCAGGGATCAAACCTGGTTCTCCTGCATTGCAGGCAGATTCTTTACCATCTAAGCCACCGGGCAAGCACGGTATTAATACTAAAATGTATTACGTTCTAGCACTGAATGTATACACTGATGGTGCTTTTTGTTTAAGCTATTTCTAGCTGTCGTGTGTTTATCAATAACATTGAGAGAAAATATAGCCTAATGAATAAGACACAAACTATGGATTCAAATGTTACAGGTTCAAATTCACTTGTTAACAGTATATGACAGAACAAGATGCTTAACCCATGCTTCATATTTTTCATCTATAAAATGGGGACTATGAGGAAAGTGGCAGTGGCCAGATTATATAGGACCCTGTAGGTAGCAGAAAAATGTATAAGTCCCTGGGTAAGCCACTAGGAAGATATAGGTGGGTGCAGTTATCAGTTGTCTAACTGCTCTGCAGCAGAACTCTGGTGTTTTATGAGCTGGATGTAGGTGTTTTCATCTTTGAGACAGGTGGTAAATTAGTATGTAAATTTTCACAAATTGTTCATAGGACTTGGGATCTTCTTATTGCCTATATTCAGAGCTTTAATAATAGTAAATTAGTTAAGGTTATCAAAAAAACATGAAAATTACCAACAGATTAATTTGAGAGCTTCCTTTTAAAAGTATATTTCTATTCATGGAATGACTAGGCTTGTGGGTCATAAAAGGAGTGGTGTTTAAAGTAGGTTGGGTGGATCAAAAGGAATAGTTTTAAATATATTTAATGTGTGGAGATTAAGAAAAACTTGAACTTTATAGTAGTGGGGGTATCTACTAAAGAATTCTCAAGGTTGAGTATACCTATTCAACAAAAGAGAAGGTTATTTGGAAGTAGTGGGAAAAGTGGAAGCTAAAAATTATGGTAGTTGTGAATTAAATTCATTCTTAAGAGGAAAAAAATTCAGAAGGATACGTTTTAGTTAAATTTAGTATCTTTTATGATTAATCTTTAGTTTTTGTTGTGACATATGATACTATAATTTTGCCTAAAATAAATGATAGAGTTGTGTGTCAGTCAGCAGCAGAGGGTGAGCTCGCTGGATGGCATCTCCGACAAACTCCGACATGAGTTTGAGCAAACTCCAGGAGATGGTGAAGGACAGGGAAGCCTGGTATGCTGCAGTTCATGGGGTTGCAGAGTCGGACATGACTTGGAGACTGAACAACAACAACAAATGATAAGAGTATATCATTTTATATATGGTTAGGGTTAAGATTTAATTTGTTGGAAAACTCTTCCCTTTATCTAGTGGGTGATAATCCAGTCTTAGCTGACTTGGAGGAAGAGTAGCTTTAGTTTTGCTGATAGGTTTATAGCAGTAGTGATGCTTTCTATCATTTGTTATTAAGTATTAAAATAATATTTTATTCTTTATAAATGATCATAATAGAGAAACATGCAAGTCTTAGAAAAATGTGGAGCAAAATAAAAATTCAGGCTTGGTTCCCGAACAATCATCTGTTTTCTAGCACTATTTAAGAAATTTAAGGAGATGAGAAGACTAAAAACTTCTGCCAGTAGCAAGATGTGAAAAATTGATATTTTTTATGTTGACCCTAACTGAACACTGACTTGATTCTTTTGTTTAAATTGCAGAATGCCGGGTCTAAGTTGTAGATTTTATCAACACAAATTTCCTGAGGTGGAAGATGTAGTGATGGTGAATGTAAGGTCCATCGCTGAAATGGGCGCTTATGTCAGCTTGCTGGAATACAACAACATCGAAGGCATGATTCTTCTGAGTGAGTTGTCGAGAAGGCGAATCCGTTCTATAAACAAACTCATCCGAATTGGCAGGAATGAATGTGTGGTTGTTATTAGAGTGGACAAAGAAAAAGGTAAATGAGAAGAATATTTAAGTTTTATTTTAATCATTTACATTTACTTATTAAATATAAATGTAATAATGAATAAATATTTTGTTAAATAATTTATATCTGAAATTTTTCTGAGTTAAACTTATTTTAAAATATATTTTTTGTTCATTGCCTACTGCAGTAAAAAAACTAAACGCCTCTTTTTGTACTTAAACTCTTTTACATACAAAGTTGTTAGAGAAGAATGCCAATTAGCCATCTAAACAAAACCTTTTAAGTTAGTAGTGGTTTAATTAGTTCATCCAGGACTAGCTTTTGTAAAAGTAAATGAATTTTAGGAATATTTTATGTCTTTAAAAAAGAGACATCTAGAACTGAATACTGTCTCTCTGGTAATCAGAATGTCTGTGACCCCCAGATCCTGTGGTCCCTTGGGATCTTCAGGCAGAGGTGAATAGGTATTCATTTATTTACTGTGTTATTTATTCAGAGAGAGTGTGTGTGTGTGTGTGTGTGTATGCACGAGTGTGTGCAATGTGCACACTTTGCTGAGTCGTGACTCATTGGGTACCCCTTCTTTGGACCCCATGTAAATCTTCACCTTTGTGAACACATTGTTTCTAAATATATTGTACGATACCAATGAGTAGGTTTTGTCTTCAGTTAACATAGTTAAGATCATTGGTTTCAGCCGTCTCGCTATAATTTATCAGGTGTTCATTTCAGTCACATAGTTAACCATCTTGCTTAAAAGACTAGTCAGTCACCCTGACTGAACTTGTCTTTCTGAATCTCCTTAGCCATCTAGTTAATTGATACTTTTGCAAATGAATGATTTTATACATAACTGACTTTTTATTATAATCTTAGATAATAAACTTGGGAGACAGCTTGTATTACCTCTTAAGAGGTGCTGCTGTTAGCACATTGATTATTCTAAATGCTTTGATATGACTTACTTGTAGCACTCTCCGTAGCCCCCATTTATTAAACTACTTGAAGACTGAGATTATTCCTTTTAATTTTGTGCTTAATCACTGTTCTAGTAGGACCTCAGCTGGTGTCTTAGCTTATATCACTTTCCTATTATATGAAATAGATACACAAAAAGGAATCAAATACATTTTCAACTGCAGTCAGAAAAAGTGAAAGGGTATACTTGTGTAAGTACAGTAGATAGATGTAAAAATGTATTTTCATAACAACATTGTTTGTACAGTGTATATTCAAATCATGAAACAATAATCTAAATTGGTTAGATAAATCATGACACAGCCAGGCAAAGCAATTTTCTACAGAATGAAATCTGAATATTCTGATATGAAAAGATCTCCAGGATAAGATAAGAAAAAAGCAAAGTGCAGAAGATCCTATAGAGGGGATCCATTTCTGATACTAGAAGTTTAAGTCCTGCTGGATAAGCCATTCAACATAACTGCTGTCAACCCTAAGCAAGCATCTAAATGGGTGGTAAGTTTTATCCAAAGATAATGGGAGCAACCAAAAGCAGGCTGAAACTGAAGGCAAGTTAACACCTGGAAGACAGGACTGTACTGGATAAGTTTTATAGCCTTTTGACTGAATGCCATGTTATAGACACTTCCAAGCAGGGCAGTGAAGATTCTAAAGGAAAACCCACAGTCTTAATGGCTTGAGAGCCAGAGATAAGAATTCTGGACAGCCACAACAGTTGGAAAGTAGTGATTGGGATTAGAGAAAGAGAGACAGAGAGTCCCTAAGTTTATATATAAAAATTCTGCTCAAATCTATAGCTGAGTCCTGAAACTACTTGTAGAGGTTAGACTGCAAGCAGCCCAACAGGATAAAAATCTAGACAAATTTTGTTTGCTTTCCATCTGGGGAGACAGCTCTGTATAGTTTTGAATTCAGACAAGTTAACTGCTAAAACAAATTGAGTATCCTTGGGAGTTCCCTGGCAGTAGTACAGTGGTTAAGACTCTGTACCTTTGCTGCCAGAGGTGGGGGTTCAGTCCCTGTTTGGGGAACTCATCCCCCACAAGCCATGCAGAGTGCACAACAACAAAAAAAATCAGTGTCTTTAAGAGGAACCTAAAGGAATTCAGAGCCTCTGCCATGTATCTTTTCTAATGTCCAGGATACAATTCAGAATTGCTAAACATTTGAATGAACAGGAAAATATGGCCCATTTGAAAAAGATAATCAGTGGAGACTGACCTAGAGATGACCCTGATGTTGGAATTAGCAGATAAGCATTTTAAATAATATGTTTTAACTACTCGAGGATATCAGGAAAATGTACTTGTAGTGAGTGAACAGAAATCTTAGTGGAGAAATTAGAAACTCACATAAAGAACTAAATACAATTTCTAGAAAGGAAATTTTTTTTTTTAGTATCTAAAAAATTCAACACATAGGCTAGCATCAGATAAAAGATGACAGAAGGCTTCTTGAAATTTGAAGGTAGTTCATTTAAAAAGAACCAATCTGAAGAACTGAGAGGAAAAAAAGAGCAACCTATTAACAATCAAAAGCTTTATTCCAAAAGAAGAGAAGAGAAAGAAAAAGCAGAAAATACATTTGAAGAAACCATGGCCAGAAGTGTCTCATATTGGCTGGGAGAAAAAATCTTTACAAATTAGAGAATCTCAGCCAACCTGAAGCAGGATAAATACTAAGACCACATCTAGGAATACCAAACTATTGAAAAACAAAATCTTCAAAATAGCCAAGGAAAATGATGTTATTTACAGGGGAACAGTAATACAAATTACAGTGGCATTCTTTTATTGGAAATAATGAAGGTCAGAGCATTGAATGACATCTGTGAAACACTGAAAGAAAACTATCAAACCAGAATTCTGTTTCTAAAGAAAATATTCAGCAATAAAAATCAAATGAAGACATCAGATAAATAGAAACTAGGAGAATTT